TGGACTGTTTTTTTTTGGGGGGGGGAGCTCTGCAGCTTACCTGGCTGCTTCTAGCTCTGACTGAGGGCTGCTGGGAGCAGGGGGCGGGGCTTGTTGCATGTGCCCGCCCTCTGGGCTCTTTACTGCAGGAGCTCCACTCCTGTGTGCTCCTGCAGGGAATGACCCCTGCCTGTGAGGACCCGCACTGTGAGACCCAAGAAGCAGACTGCAGCGAAAGAGGAGACGGAGCCATTTGCTGACTCTGAGGGGGCACAGAAGTCCCGCCCTAGAGGCGGGCCGGCTCCTTCCTGGCTGCGGGCCCTGCCGGCGTGGCAGAACTTCCATCCCAGAAGGGCCCTTGTCCACTCCTGCTATGCAGCCCACCCCCCTTGTGATCTGTCTCTTTGAGCCCCCACTTGCGGAGGGGAGGTGGGTGACAACTAGAGACGGGGCCTGTTCTGTGGCGGCCCCTTGCCCTTGGAGCACGCTCCCCCTTGAGGTTCTTATGGGAACTACATGACTTTCTTTTAGGCACTAGGCTAAAGGTCTTTTTTTTTTTGCCCAGACTTTTAATTAGGGGTTCTTCTCTTCTCAGCCCTTCAGCTGTCTGCTTTGGTTTCGCCGGTAGTTTTTATGTGGTTCAGGCCCAGCGGCTTGGTTTAATCGTGTGGTTTTGAAATGTAAGCTGTCTCAAGCAGGACTCTAAAGAGGGGGCAAAGAAATGTGAGTTAACTAAATAACTCGGGCAAACGGGTCTCCTGCATAAGGAGCACGTCCAAGCCAGTCCCCACCCACCCCCTTCTGCCAGCTAGGGTTGCCAATCTCCAGGCGGGTAAACACAGAAAACACCGTGTTGAAATAATAAACACAATATTCGCATGTACTTATAGCTAAATATATTTGCTTTCTATACACAACGTCAACTCTAGTGTATTGTAAACACTTTCAAACGACACCATCAACATTTCAAACACTTTCAAACTAAATTACATAACACGAAGAGTCCATAATCGCAGAAACCCACTCCAGTATAAACTTCCTGATGGAGGATAGATACCAACGTACAGTAATGTGTACCAAACAATGCAGCAACCTATTGTACATTTCCCAAGTGATGATCCATCACGTAAAGCTAGCAGGCAGCTTGTATTTCTCACGGTGATGATTCAGCTTAGCCAGCAAGCCTAGTAGATGTATTTTCCCATGAGGTGATTCAGCTAGCAACACGCCTCCCGGGCATAACCTACGTGTTTCGAACAAATCTTCAGGCATACATTTTTCTGGAACTGAACATCAATACATATCATAATATAATATAAATTCAATATCCTTACATAGTACCAGAAAAAACAAGGGGGGGGGGTTACTATGTAAAGATATTGAAATGTACAATAGGTTGCTGCATTGTTCGGTGCAAATAACTGTACATTGGTATTTATCCTCCATCAGGAAGAAGACAGTTGGACTCTTCATGTTATATAACTTAGTTTGTGTTTGAAATGTGATGTTTTAGTTTGAAAGTGTTTACAATACACTAGAGTTCATGTTGTGTATAGAAAGCCAATATATTTAGCTATAAATACAGGTGAATATCTGTGTTTATCTAACTTAGCCGTGTTCCCTGTGTGCTTGTTGTTGAATCTCCAGGCGGGGCCTGAAGATCTCCTGTTATTATAACTGAACGTCCGGCAACAGAGACCCGTTCCCCTGGAGAAAAATGAAGGTGGACTCTATGGCATTAGACCGCACTGAAATCCCTCCGCAGAATTAAACCAGCAATTGAAATATCACTATAGCATTAAGAACTGTGTGTCTGTCCGGTTCTCTGAATTGCCCTTTTTCATTTTTAATGAAGTCTCTGGTTGCTTCAGTTGCGGGTATATGACCTTTTCTTTTATATTGCCACAATAAAAAGGGCTAGACACTTTTTTAAAAAAATCAGAAGAGCCGAAAATTCAGAAAACATTGTAGATACATTGTTACAATGGTAGGCAACTGATTGTTTTTTTTTAAAAAAGAAGCCCTCCATTGGAGGAGAAATGGCCATGGACAGCGAGAAGGGAAGAGGAAATGGTGCCAGTGTAGGCAAGACGGGGAAGATCTGGAGGGACCCATCTGCCTGCGTGCTCCCCCTGGCTCTGCTCCAGTCCTTCCCAAAGAATTCCTGCCAAGTAGATTTGGGAAAGATTACAGGAAAGATGGAGAAACCCCAGGAGGGTCCTGGATGCACCACAGTGCTGTGGAAAAACGGGGGTGGGGAGGAGAAAGACTTCCGGTAGGATTGAACTCAGTGCAAAGGAGCTGCGGTGGCTCAAGTGGTTAAGACGCTGAACTGTAGGCTGTGGAAGGTCAGTAGTTCAGCAGTTCGAGACCCGAGTGTGCCGCATGACAGAGTGAGCTCCCGTCTCTCGTTCCAGCTCCTGCCAACCTAGCAGTTCGAAAGCAAGACATTGCAAGTAGATAAATAGGTACCACTTCGGTGGGAAGGGAACAGCGTTCCGTGCGCCTTGGTGTTTAGTCATGCCGGCCACATGACCACGGAGACGTCTTCGGACAGCACTGGCTCTACGGCTTGGAAATGGAGATGAGCACCGCAACCCTAGAGTCGGACTCGACTTTTTGTTATTTATAATCCACCTTTCTCGCTGTGAGAACCCGAGTGGCTTCTGTAGTTCTCCTCTCCTCTCTTTTATCCTCGCAGCAGTCCCATGAGGTGGGTTAGGCCGAGAGGGCATGACTGGCCCAAGGTCATACAGCGAGCTTCTGTGGCACGAGTGCGGATTCTAACTCAGGTCTCCCAGATCCTAGTTGTATATTTGAACCACTCTACCACACTCGCTCTCTAATATTGTTATTTAGATTAGATTCGGATACTGTTATTGTTCATATTTCAACCTATTTGGTGAATTGTCCTTTTGATCGACCAAACGGCTGTATTGTGCCTGCTGTCTGCCTTGAATCCCAGTGAGAAAGATGGACTAGAAATGAAGATAAATAAATAAATAAAAGTGTGGCACCCACATCCCCCCCCCGACTACTTTAAAGGCCATGTAAAATATGGACTGTCGAAACAGTATTTGAATACTGTGTAGCGGTTAAGACACAGAACTGCGGACTGGAAGGTCTGTAGTTCAGCAGTTCGAGACCCGAGTGCCACATGACGGAGTGAGCTCCCATCTCTGGTCCCAGCTCCTGCCAACCTAGTAGTTCGAAAGCAAGAAATTGCAAGTAGATAAATAGGTACCACTTCAGTGGGAAGGTAACAGTGTTCCGTGCGCCTTGGTGTTTAGCCATGCCGGCCACATGACCACGGAAACGTCTTCGTACAGCGCTGGCTCTTTGGCTTTGAAACGGAGATGAGCACCGCAACCCTAGAGTCAGACTCGACTGGCTTTCAAGCAAGGGAAACCTTTACCTTTTTATACTTACTTGGAAGCAAGTCTCATTCTATTCCGTGGCGCTTTCTCCTGAGCCTTTAGTCTGGTTTTTGAAAGGAAGAAAAAGTCAATTATTTTAAATATGATAACCGTAAATGGCAGCCAGGTAGCCCATCTTGGAGAGGTGCCCTAGTCTGCGTGGTCTAAAAGACAGTCTGTCGTTTCCCTTCTCACATGTTGTTTTTATTCAAATGTAAATTGATGGAGGTTTAATCAGCTGATTAATATGCTGAAGCGTATCCAATTAGTTTAATGAGCTTCTTCTAATCGGGCGGCAGCCCATAAGCGGTGGTCCTGAGCATGGGAACAGGATTAGTGCCGTAAGTGCAAGACATTCCATGTTCGCCTTGCGTGAAACGTTGGTGCCCATGAACCAACGGAGCCTCTTCGTTCTTTTTGCACTGTCTAACATGGCAGTTTGCCCTTCTAGCCTGCCAGATAATCGCGAGCGGCCTTGAGAGACATCTGCCCAAGCCGCATTTCAGGCATTTCAAAGCAGCAGGGAAACCGGGAGTGCCGGTCATCCTTATTTCCTATTTCCTCTTGTAAGTTTGATCGACTGAAACGGCTCTTCGTTCCATTTGAAGAGGCGGAAGCTAATGAGGGGAAAGTAATGGAAGGTAAAAGGTGAAGGTTCCCTTGCTCGAAAGCCAGTCGAGTCCGACTCTAGGGTTGCGGTGCTCATCTCCTTTTCCAAGCCGAAGAGCCAGCGCTGTCCGAAGACGTTTCCGTGGTCGTGTGGCCGGCATGACTAAACACCAAGGCGCACGGAACTCTGTTACCTTCCCACTGAAGTGGTACCTATTTATCTACTTGCAGTTTCTTGCTTTCAAACTGCTAGGTTGGCAGGAGCTGGAACTAGAGACGGGGGCTCACTCCGTCATGTGGCACCTGGGTCTCGAACTGCTGAACTACCGACCTTCCACAGCCTGCAGTTCAGCGTTTTAACCACTCGAGCCACCGCAGCTCCTAATAGAAGGTATATCAGTGCAAAGTCCTGCAACTGGACAAGAGCCCCTTTTGCCTTCATGGGGTGGGGTAGATTTCCTTCAAGAAGACCATCAGATAGTTTTAAGGAGAAGCTGCAGACGTACAGATGTTGAATAAGAAGGGAGAATCAAAGGGGATAGAACAGGGGTGCCAAACATGCGGCCCGGGGGCTGGATCAGGCCTCCGGAGGGCTTCCATCAGGCCCGCAGCGGAACTGGCCATCTCCTGCTTCCAGTTCCGCTGCTGCTGCTGCGTCACAGCTTGCTTTGCCAGACTCTCAGAACTCTGAGCATGAGATTTCTGTGGTGAATGTCAATACCTCAAAAGTAGGTTTGCAGCTTCCAGAGCTCATGTTTTAAGCATGTTTTTATTTTAAGTTAAAAAAAAATCTTTGTGTTTGTGTCCTCTATAAAGTTTATATCTCCGCTACCTGGCATTACATTTTATGACACGCGTGGCCCCTTCCAACAAGGTCTCATTTATGTCAGATCCGACCCTCATAACAAATGAGTTCGACACTCCTGTGATAGAACGATATTTGTCGAGATTAGTTTGAGTGTATATGTTTCTTTAAAAAATTTTTTTTTTTAACAGAAATTGTGGCTCAGAAACACATGTACTGCTTCAACTTGACATCTCTGCAGGATTCGGAGTTGATCCTGGCTGCCACCTTCCACTTCTCGCCTGAGAAATGCAGCCGGCATCACAAGTCACTTTGCAGATGCTCAGAGAACTCTGCTTGCCACCTTCTTCACTTGCCCCCGGTGTCGTGGCTCAACGTGGTCTTCCACAGTTTTGGAGAGAACCTGGCCTACGAGCAACTCAAAGAGAACGTCGATGTGTCTCCTCACCGGCAGGAGGCCTGGTCGCAGAAGGACATCTCACACATCATCCGACGATCGAGGCGATTCGGTGGGCTTCTCCTGTGCGCTGAACTTGACTCTGGGAAGAAGTACCGCAGTGGCGTCTCTGAAGAACCTGCCTCCCACTGGCCGTACATCCTCGTTTACGCCAATGACTTAGCCATATCAGAGGCCAACAGTCTGGCCCTTTCGCTCCTGCGGTACGACCCATTCCCTTCCGCCGAGAGTCTTTTGCTCAACTCTTCTAGAAGCAGCCGTACGAAGAGGGGTGCACACCCATCCTTCCCTGTCCAGAGCAATGAATTGCCAGGGACGGTGGAGAACAGGAACAAGCCTAGCAAACAGGACTTATGGAGGAGGGCATACAAGTCCCTCCAATCCAAAGCCTCGCACGGAGACCGGAAGAGGAAAGGGCAGGAAGATGCCGAGACGCTCCCTAAGTCTCGGGTATTAAATTTCGATGAGAAGACGATGAAGGAAGCCCAACAAAAGCAGTGGAGTGAACCGACCGTTTGTTCTAGAAGATACATGAAGGTGGACTTTGCTGATATCGGCTGGAATGAATGGGTCATCTCTCCAAAATCCTTTGATGCGTACTACTGCGCAGGGGGCTGTAAGTTCCCGATGCCCAAGGTAGGGTGTGTAAGTCGACTTTATTTGCTAGGCTTATTGATTATTTTATTTATTTCATTTTATTTCACTTCTACCCCGCCCTCCCCGCAAGTGGGCTCAGGGCGGCTTGCAATAAAATACAACAGGATTAAAACAATTAAGGCACCAAGTGCAATAAAAATAGGACAAGTTAAAACAATTAAAACAAAAACTCACATCTTGCAGGATACATTGTTGTTGTTGTTCAGTCGCACAGTCGAGTCCGACTCTTCGCGACCCCATGGACCAGCTCCCGCCAGACCCTCCTGTCTTCCGCCGTCCTCTGAAGTTGGCTCAATTTCATGTTCGTTGCATCGATGACACTGTCTAACCATCTCATCCCTTGCCGTCCCCGTCTTCTTTGACCTTCAATCTTTCCCAGCATCAGGGTCTTCTCCAGGGAGTGCTCCCTTCTCATTGGGTGGCCAAAGTATTTGAGCTTCAGTTTCATTATCTGGCCTTCCAGGGAACAGTCAGGGTTGATTTCTTTTAGGATTGACTGATTTGATCTTCTTGCAGTCCAAGGGACTCTCAAGAGTCTTCTCCAGCACCATAGTTCAAAAGAATCTATTCTTCGGCGCTCGGCCTTCCTTATAGTCCAACTCTCGCAGCCATACGTGACTACTGGGAATACCATTGCTTTGACCATGCGGACTTTTGTTGGCAGAGTGATGTCTCTACTCAAGTTACTCGGTGGTGGTGGCAGCGGCGGCTCCTACTCAAAAGCCTGGCGGAAGAGCTCCGTCTTGCAGGCCCTGCGGAACTCAGACATCCTCATCTTCATCATCATTATTCTTATTATTATATCACCCCATCCCTACTATCGCAGGGCTCTGGGCAATGTACATACTACTAAAACAATAACCAGATAAAAGAATAGAGCACGCTAAATTACATTGTAAAACATCCTCATCTTCATCATCATTATTCTTATTATTATATCACCCCATCCCTACTATCACAGGGCTCTGGGCAATGTACATACTACTAAAACAATAACCAGATGAAACAATAGATCACACTAAATTACATTTTAAAATTACATTGGCCTCATCCCTCACCAGTATTGGAATATGGTGGCTAATACTGTTTGAAAGGTCTTGTGAATAGTACTACCCCAGGCCCCTGACTTTTAAATGCAAATTACGTTAAGGTGCTAGATTTAATCGATACAGGAAGATTTAAGAATAGTTCTTAAATCAGCTTCTTGTACGGCTAAATCTAGCTCCTTAACATAGCAAGGCTGGTCTTGCCTACTTTTTGGAAGGCAAAGTATCTTCCAAGTAAACGGGATTGGATATGGAAAATTTGGGAGATAGGGAAGTCAGTTATTATTATTTATTATTTATTTTATTACATGTATACCCTGCCCTCCCCGCGAACGGGCTCAGGGCGGCTCACATAGGGCACCAAGTGCATTCAGTATACAAATTACATAATACAGACTCAGCAATTGCAACTAGCTGTCCAGTCCCCAAGCATTCAAATAAATCCACGTTTGAAACAAAGTAGAATTTTATTATAAAGCGATGGAGAACCCAGGAACACAAGAATTGTTAGGAATAACTACAGACCCCGTGGGGCAACATAATAAACGAACTTGAACCAGGTCTTGACCAATAGATCCATTTCCCGCGTGCAGGAAAGTAGGCAACACGAGCGCCCCAACCCTTGGGAACACAACGGTCCACAATATAAACACAAGTTCAGTTCTCAGGCATGGAATACATAACAAGTGAAGCGAAGCCAAAACTCCTTCCCACCTCCAGCTGTCGACCTTGGGCAGTATCTTAGGTAGCAAGCGTGGAAGTGAAAGTAACCAACAGAACGGGGAGGGGAGAGGAAAGCACAACCTAAAAGCTACCAGGTTGCACAGCACTAAATGGCAGCTTGCTGACACTAGCCAAATTAAAACAAGTTAAAATCAGTTCTATGGATGCACATAAAAACTCCTAACATCTTGCGTAGCAGGGGGGAAGGCTGGGGTGAAGGCTTGTCGATTGGTTTAATAGGAAAGAAATGAAGGTTGGGGGTCCAGCTGCCCGGAATCTCCTCCAGTTGGGCCCATTTCTGGCTACCGCAAGAACAGCAGGTTGGATGCTCAGAGAGGTAAAAGTCCCCCCATTTTACAAGGGGCGGTAGTGCAAGAAAACAGTGATATGTTTTGAAGCCCTTGAATATGAATCATAGAGTGCATAGCTTCCTCCTCCTTCTCAAACCATCATGGCCCCCGAATGGCCCTCGTCTTAGCTGTTCCCTCGTGGTGAAACAAACTCTGCAGGCACAATGTTTTTTTTCCATAAGGATTGAAGACTGTACCCACCTGGCCCCATTCCCAAGCTGCTAGACCTCAGTGAAGAGTTCCCTTCTCCAGCTTTATAACAGGCATTCTCCTACAAACACAGAATATCCTCTGCCACAGGCAGGGCGATAGGAAAAGTCCTGTAGCCAGACGCCATGTATTCCAAATCAACACATTCCTTCTCCTGTTCTGTGTCCAATTTGGCAATAGGGAGCCTTGAGAAACCGCACACCTGAGATGTTATCAGAGCTAAGCAGGATCTCTCTGCCTTGTTTTTGAACCTGGATAATCATGTGCAAAGTTTAGACTTTGTATGTGGATGCAAAGACCAATAAGTCCAGTTGCAGAAAAAGAAAAACGTGGAGCATTTAGTTGTATAAGCAGCCATTGGTTGCAAAAAAAGAGAAGCAAGAAACATTAAACACTAAAAGCTGTGTTCATAAGTTACAGTCTATGCATGTAGTATCCGTGCATAGGGTACACTAGATTTATCTTTATGCATGTGTTGGGTAATTCTCATGTTGTGTTCAACACATGTACATCTTCAATGCATGATTTAAAACCCACATTTATCAAGGTACTGGTCCCAGGTTTCATTTATAAAGTGAACACCTTTGGTTCTGTCTTTCAAACAGATGTACACATGTGCGGGGAAGATACTTACGGTATGTTCACTATAACTTGTGAACATGACTATAAATATCATAATTGTCTGCCACCATGTCACAATTCATTAATGTTCACTACACTCAGGGCTATTTTTGGGCAGGAACGCACAGGAATGGAGTTCCAGCTGGCTCCCAAGTTGGCCACGCCCAGCAGGAACTCATTAGCATAATAGGCCACACCCAACAGCAGAAACTCATTAAAATTGGCTACATTAGGGGTGTGTGGCCTAACATGCAAAGGGGTTCCTGCTGCAAAAAAAGGCCCTGGGTTTTGACAATAAACAAGGTAAACAGAATAAGAAGCGAAAGGTGGGTGTGGCTGAATGACCACACTTCTGGTAACATGGGGGTGTAGCCTAATATGTTAATGTGCTGTGCTGTCAGGGGTGTGGCCTAATAGGCTAATGAGTTCCTGCTGTTGGGTGTGGCCTATTATGCTAATGAGTTCCTGCTGGGCTGAGTCACAATTGACTGATAGCAGCCCGGGGACAATGGGGCTTTGAAGGAAAGAGTTGAGCAGAGGTGGTTGGTCATTCTCTGTTTCTGCACAAGCAGCCCCATTATTCCTCCAACGTTTCAAAGTTCATCCTTCATCAGGGTGTTCCCTTTAAGCTGCTGTGGTTTTCATACTCATACTGACATGCATTGGGAACAGTCTGTGAATAATTCAACACAAAATCGGACACCAATCTCCAACATGTAGTCAGCTTCAGTAGCTTCAGACTTGCAGCGGTAAACGTTATCAAACATCCGGACACAACGCTGAATTATTTAGTCGTTCTCCATTGTTTATACATTGTAGCACATACCAGTTTGCCATTGTTTACATTTTGTACTTTTTCATTGTGGCTGCTTTGTATACATCATTCTCTATTGCTTTTTGGCTAGTTGTAATTGTTGAGTCTGTTTACAACACTTGTTTTTGTCTTCTATTATCATTGAGTCACAATTAACTGATGGCAGCCTGGGGACAATGGGGCTTTGAAGGAAAGAGTTGAGCAGAGGTGGTTGGTCGTTCTCTTTTTCTGCACAAGCAGCCCCATTATTCCTCCGTGGCCTCCCATCCAAGTACTCACAGGCAATGTTCCCTCTAAGCTGTGGAGTCTTGTGAGCAAAAATTCTATTTTGTGAGCGACTGGCATTAAAGTTGTCAGCGAGCCATTTGGTTACTGCATAGATTAGTCTGCTCTGGAGCCATCCTTCCTGGGCTAAGACAAAAATGTGTGAGCAGGAGGCTAAAGAACTGTGAGCTGGCTCACACTAACTCAGCTTAGAGGGAACACTGCTCACAGGCTTAGCTTCCAGACTCTGATGAGATCAGGTTGTGACTGTTGTGTAGAACAGGGTTCTAACAGAACAACACGTAGAGTATTTGAGCAAAAGAAAAAGAAAAGGCACATGAGACAGAATTCTCTCTCCTTGGATCCTTGTGATGTTGAAGAGTCAGGCAGAAGTCTCAGAATGGTTCCGGGTTTGTTGTTCAGGCCCTCTTTTTACCCTTTTAACCTTCCTCTATCGTCTGTGTAGACCCCTCCCTGTAGACCACCTGCCGGCGTGTATCTCTTCCCAAGCCCTTGACCAGGGCTTTTGGAGAAAAAGCCCAGCAGGAACTCATTAGCATAATAGGGCACACCCAGCAGCAGGAACTCATTAGCATATTAGTCGACACCCCTGACAGCACAGCTCATTAGCACATTAGGCTGCACCCCCATGTTACCAGAAGTGTGGTCATCCAGCCACACCCACCTTTCCCTTCTTATTCTGTTGACCTTGTTGTCAAAACCCAGGGCCTTTTTTTGTTGCAGGAACTCCTTTGCATGTTAGGCCACACCCCCTAATTGTAGCCAATCCTAACGACTTTCTACTGCTGGGTGTGGCCTATTATGCTAATGAGTTCCTGCTGGGTGTGGCCAACTTGGGAGCCAGCTGGAACTCCGTTCCTGTGCGTTCCTGCCCAAAAATGGCCGAGCACCTTGCCCCAAGGACGGAGCTGCTTCTTCCCCTGAAGCTTGACCAGACCACTCCCATCTTAGTCGACATGGATCAGGTAGAAAATCAAGTAGTAGCCATCATGGCCCAGACTAGCCCAGTCTTATCAGAGCTTGGAAGATAACTATGGTTGGCCATGGCCATGGTGGGAGACCACCAAGGCATCTAGACTGGGGAGGCGATGCAGAGGAGGACTAAGGCGAACCACCTCTGCTCATCTCTTGCCTTGAGTACACCTTTTGCTTCTTATTCTGTTTACCTTGTTTGTTGTCAAAACCCAGGGCTTTTTGTTTGGAGCAGGAACTCCTTTGCATGTTAGGCCACACACCCCTAATTGTAGCCAATCCGAATGACTTTCTACTGCTGGGTGTGGCCTGTTATGCTAATGAGTTCCTGCTGGGCGTGGCCAACTCGGGAGCCAGCCGGAACTCCGTTCCTGTGCGTTCCTGCCCAAAAATAGCCCTGCCCTTGAGATGGCCGAGCACCTTGCCCCAAGGACGGAGCTGCTTCTTCCCCTGAAGCTTGACTGGACCACTCCCATCTTAGTCGGATCAGGTAGAGAAGCAAGTCGCAGCCATCATGGCCCAGACTTGCCCAGTCTTATCAGAGCTTGGAAGATAACTATAGTTGGCCATGGCCATGGTGGGAGACCACCAAGGCATCTAGACTGGGGCGGCGATGCAGAGGAGGACTAAGGCGAACCACCTCTGCTCATCTCTTGCCTTGAGTACCCCAGTAGGAGGAATTTCGTGGGGTGGCCAGGCGTCAGCGGCCTCTTGAGGGCACACGTCGCCTTTAGAATCATAGAGTTGGAAGGGACCTCCAGCGTCATCTAGTCCCACCACAATACAGGGAATTCTCAAATACCTCCCCCTCCACACCCACAATGTTCCATGCCCAGAAGATGACAAAAAAAACCCTTCCAGGATTGCTTCCTGACCCCAAAGTGGTGATCAGCATTTTCCTGGGCATGTAAGAAAGGGCCACAAGAACTAAGCACTGATGCAGCCCTTCCTGCCGTCCCTCTCATGATCTGCCGAAGTTCACAGAATCTGCATTGCTGTCAGATGGCTATCTAACCTTTGTTTGAAAACCTCCAAAGAAGGAGAGCCTACCACTTCCCGAGGAAGCCTGTTCCCCTGAGGAACTGCTCTAACTGTCAGGAAGTTCTTCCTAGTGTTTAGCTGAAAACTCTTCTGATTTAATTTCAACCCGTTGGTTCTGGTCCGACCTTCTGGGGCAACAGAAAACAACTCCACCCCATCCTCTACCTGACAGCCCCTCATGTACTTGAAGATGGTTCTCATATCACCTCTCAGTTGTCTCCTCTCCTGGTTAAACATACCCAGCTCCTTCAACCTTTCCTCATAGGACTTGGTCTCCAGACCCCTCACCATCTTCGCTGCCCTCCTCTGGACACGTTCCAGCTTGTCTATATCCTTCTTAAATTGTGGTGCCCAAAACTGAACACAGTACTCTAGGTGAGAAGGGGAAAGAAGCCCATCCATTTTCTTTGGTGACTTTCATAGCTTACATGCTCTCTGCCTTCACCTGCCCGGGGGTCCCTTTCGTCTTCATGGGCTGCATCTTCATCAACATTCTATAAACTAGCATCTCCTGGTAGTCCCTGGCCCTAGGGATGTCCGACTTGCCTCCACTAGGGAAGCCTGGTGGAAGAGCTCCGTAAGGTAGCTAATTCCACCAGGTAGGAGCCAGGGCCTGTAAGACGGAGCTCTTCCACCAGGCTTTTAGTTAAAGCAGTGGGCATCCATTTTGATTTGCCCCCGCTCCCCTCCAGTGACTGCAGATCCTGGAAGCCGACTGAAGTTATAACATTGCTGGAATCTGTGGATGCACACTGTACATTTTTAATGTTTTACTGATTTTAGTGAGCTTAATTAATATTAATATTAATAATATTGTACTGATGAATACGTCTTGATTGTAAATCTGCATTATTGCAGGTCTGTATGTCCGGAACCCGCCCTGAGCTTGCTACGCAGGGAGGGCAGAATGCAAATCCAATAAAATAAAATTTAAAAAATAACAAAATATATCTCTTACCAACTTCTCCATCTTACAATTTGGAAGGGACTGGGAAATAGGAGAGCTTGATCATTTGTTAAAATGATCATTCTTTTCTAGTGCTGAGACTTTGGCACCCATTCGGGGGAGGGCGGGTCTCCCTGATGTTGCCCCCGTCCTCACCGGAAATGTGTGGGGCCCCCCCATTTAAAAAGCAGCGGCAGAATGAGTACTCTTTCAAGTTTTCCTGTTCTAAGAAATAAAGGCACAGACCAGGGGGAAGGGGAGGGGAGGGAAGAAGAAGAAGAAGAAGAGATTGAATTTATGCCCCGCCCTTCACTACCCAAAGGTGTCTCAGAGCGGCTTACAAACTCCTTCGCCTTCCCCTCCCCACAACAGACACCCTGTGAGGTGGGTGGGGCTGAGAGAGCTCTTGACAGAAACTGCTCTTTTTCAAGAACAGCTCTTATCAGAAGTACGGCTTGCCCAAGGTCATCCTGTAGCTGCAAGTGGAGGAGTGGGGAATCAAACCCGGTTCTCCCAGATTAGAGTCCGCGCACCTAACCACTGCACCAAACTGGCTCCTGGCTGGAGGAGAAGAGCAGGCCAAGAAATTCAGGCCAGATCCATGCCAGCAATAGCAGATGAAGCCAGAAACCTCTGTGCTGAGGAGGCGTTGGTGTTGTTGTTGTGATCCAAGAAAGCATCTCTACCTGGAAGAAGACTTGTCTTCTGTCTGGATGTGGCAAGGCCTTTTGCCTTCATCTGTTCACAGAGCCAGTTTGGCGTAGTGGTTAGGAGTGTGGGCTCTAATCTGCGAGAACCGGGTTTGACTCCCCACTCCTCCACTCACAGCTGCTGCATGCAAGTGGAGGAGTGGGGAATCAAACCCGGTTCTCCCAGATTAGAGTCCGCGCACTTAACCACAACACCAAACTTCTGGCTGGAGGAGAAGAGCGGGCCAAGAAACTTGGGCCAGATCCATGCTCGCAATAGCAGATGAAGCCAGAAACCTCCGTGCTGAGCATCTCTACCTGGAAGAAGACTTGTCTTCTGTCTGGATGTGGCAAGGCCTTTTGCCTTCATCTGCTCACAGAGCCAGTTTGGCATAGTGGTTAGGAGTGTGGACTATAATCTGGGAGAACCGGGTTTGACTCCCCACTCCTCCACTCACAGCAAGCCATAGTTCTTCTGTAAGAGCTGTTCTCTCAAGGACAATTCTGGAAAGCTCTCTCAGGTCCACCTGCCTCACAGGGTGTCTGTTGTGGGGAGGGGAAGGGAAAAGAGTTTGTAAGCCACTCTGAGACTCCCAAGTGGAGGGTGGGGCATAAATCCAATCTCCTCCTCTCCCTCTCCTCCCTCGTGCTTCCCAAACTGTTCTGAGTAAACAACGATCCCTTGCCAAGAAGCAGTAATGATTTCCTTCTCTCTTCCAGATCGTGCGGCCGTCGAACCATGCCACGATCCAGGGCATTGTGAAGGCCGTCGGGATCATTCCAGGCATACCAGAGCCTGCCTGTGTACCCAACGCAATGAACTCCCTGAGCGTCCTCTTCCGAGACCGGAGCGACAACCTTGTGCTGAAGGTGTACCCTAACATGTCCGTGGACAGCTGTGCCTGCCGATAGGCTGCTTCATCGCACACGCACACACACCACACGCACACACACATGATATGGAATGAAGCCAGAATTTGTGGTCTGGTTCAGTTGGAAATGGGAGTTCTTTGTCCGTTTAATTCCCCGTTTCCGGATGAGGCTCTGAAGCGGTGAGATATTTCTCCCCCCCCCCTTTTTTGGCACTTTCATATTCTTAACTTGCATAGCGGAGAGGAGATTAGGGTTCTTAGTGGAATCTTCTATATATAGCAGAGTTTCCCCGTAACCTAACAACTGCCGGTCAAGTTAGACACAGGAGGGGCAGGGGCAGCCTCTCATCCCCTTCTCCTCATCCACACGGTGCTCATCTGTTTCTCCAGCAGGGCAGATGGCCGCTCCGGAGGAACGATGGAAGTCAGGAAAATTGCATGGCGGGAAGAGGTTAAATGCCACATCTGCCCATCTCAGTGTGGAGTTCCTGTAACTGGAATTCATTCTTTTATGAGCATAGGAGCTGTGTTCACAGGCCTTCTGATGTCATGTCTGATTTGGCCTTTATAATAATAATAATGATGATGATGCTTTCGATTTATTAATCGCTTTCCCCACAAGTGAGCTCAAAGTGATTTACAGTTACACTTAGACAAGGGACTAACAATGTTCATAGGGGATAGGAAAGACAACATATATAATTCATTTAATTGCACACGCCGTAACTGCACGGTGGAAACGTCTTCTGGCTTGTATCAGTCATGTTCCGAACGGCTGCGTTGACCGGCTTGATGACGTTGGGGCTTCAAGGCCCATGTGTCGCATTGCCACACTGCCCCTGCCTGGCCGGAGCATCCCACTGCAGGGATTTTTGGTAGCCGAGTAGTTCTTCCGCCTTTCCGATACTGGAGCAGGACGTCCCAACCGACAGCGAACACCTTCCCACAGGGGAGTTGGTGTGCCCACCCTCTCTAAGGAGTGGTTCCCATTTTATCTACTCACCGAGGCTTTTATCTACCCACCGAGGCTGGGTGGACAATGAGCTGGGAACAACAGGCTGGCTGCTCACACCAGCGTTATAAGAGATACATTTAAACGAACACTTCTCCAAGGTTGGGAATGGGCAGGCTGACAGGGCTTGGGACAGAGATTTCCATTTTGACTCGCAAGACTCTTGGGGTGTGGCCACCAGAGCAGTTTGGCCTGGCAAAGCCACCCCTCCCCTCCGGATTAAATGGGCGCCGTCACGCAGCCACATCTGTCAGGTGTTCCCCAGGCATACTCACCCCATCATACGACGACTTGAAGCAGGGTTAAAAAGGCACGACATCGCAAGCGGTGTGTTTGGTTCCCCGTGCATTCGTTGCACATGGCCGGATGTCTGAACGCAGGGGAGCGTGCGCAAAATGGATGGCCGGTCTGAACCCACAGATCTGTTTCTGCCTGTATGTGCACAAGGGTACACGCACACATGTGCATGAGCGCATATACGCACACCTGAACACACATGTGCACGCATGAGCGCATATGCACCCATCTGCATCTTTAAAAATGACCAGGCAGTGTGTTCTGTGCCTGAGGCACTGCAGTAATGTGGATGCTTGACCAGGGGACGGCTGCATGGGTAACCCACAGCAGGGTGTGTTGTCTGGATGATATGCCCCACAACGTTTTAAACTGGTATAATTAAGAGGTGCCACCATATCGTACCAAGCTGCCAGTGTGATCACACCCTTAGTTCACATGTTGTTAATTTTTTTTTAATATCTGTTTATTGAATTTCAAACTTCATCGTAATACATTAAATACAAAGAATTAACATTAAATTTCCGATAAAATTGATTAAGCACACAAAGAAACAAAACTACAGAAAAACTAAAAATAAATGTTATTCAGTTGATGACACTGAGAGCCCTATCAAGTTAAAAGGCTGCGCAATCCATTATGTCTAACTGAGCTTCAAATGCTGAAAACACAAGTAACATACTCTCACCCTAAGACAAGCATCTTAAATTTCGGTGACTTTATGTGTTCCCAATCGAACTTGTCCAAATTCATTTTATCAATAATTGGAGCCCATTTATCTAAAGGGTTTAGTAAGTGACGTTCTGCGTCTTTATTACTTAGCCATATAGATGCTTTCTCCTGAAGAAAGAAATCCCACACTTTATGTAGCCATTGCTGCATCGTCGGGAGGGAGTCAGTTTTCCATTTACTTGCCAGAGAGATCTTTGCGGCAATTACTAAAATATTAATCAACTGTCTCCTGTTCTCAGGCGGACCCTCATCAGGCCAAAGGTGCAACAAAATCACCTTTGGATCGTACGGTAAATCATATCCTGTAAGGGTTTGAATGTTAGAAATGATCTGCTTCCAGTAATCTGCTACTAAAGGACATTCCCACCAAGTGTGGATAAAAGTTCACATGTTGTTAATGATGAAAAATTATACTCTAGGGTTTCATTAAAAAAAAAAATTAAGCCCCCGGAGGGGATTTTTTATTGATTTTTAAACACTACAAATAACTACAACAGAAAATAAGGAGGGGGAATACTACACATACGGGAGAAAGTAAAGTACCCACTACTAACTAAAAACCCAAGAGAGGAGATCCTCCAACTAGCTTCGTTACATCAAGTCTTCTCATCGTAGATACTTTTATAAACTGAGTCAAAACATTTAAAAACTTTTACCCTTAGAGTTTCATTTAACTGTCTAGAAGGGAAAAGAAGAAGTAAAGGCTGAAGGACTCTGAATTGTGCCTTTGAGAACTTTGGTTTTGGGGGATGATTGAGGGTACTGTATTTTTTCCTTCCAATGCATTGCGTATATGATAAGTGGTACAACTGTGGGAGTGGGGGCAATTTTCACTCATTCCTCTCCTAGTGCAGCCCCCGCTTTTGCACCCATTTGTGGTTCCCTGGAGCCTCCTGCATCCTGGGGACAGGACTGAAAGGGGCAGCAGTGAGAAGGAGAGAAGAAAATTCTGTTCTGCGAGGAAATCCCGCTCATGGGGTTCAGTCCAATATAGTGAGAGACAACAGAGCTTGACAAAATCCCATGGCGCCTAAAAATTTCATTGTAGCCTCTGCTGGGGTTGTTTTGTGGTAGCAATAATTAGAAAATATGGTCACATGTAACTCTGAAGGCTGAAATAGGAGTCTGGCTCCTAAGTATTTGGTCTGGCTTTTGTGGCCAAAGAAAAACTGTCAAGGCATCAGACAGAGACAAGACAAACGCACACATTCTGATGCATAGATTTTGGCTTTTAAACTGAGATATGTAATCTGTGCTATACATAGAAGCAGGGGTCATTTCGTAGAAAAAGAGGTGCAGGAGCTCATTAGCATAACTCATTAGCATAACTTATTTGCATATGCCACACCTCCTGACATCAGAAGTGTGTCAGAAGGCAACACCCACTGCTCAGGCTCCACTGGACTGTTTTGGATTGCTAGCTATTTGGGGGGGGGGAGACATGCAGATCTGTCCTCGCAGAGGAGGGAGAGCTGGTACCTGAATAAAACTTGGTCTTAAAGGTGCCACTGGACTGTTTTGGACCAGGGGGCGGGGAGGGAGCTCTGCAGCTTACCTGGCTGCTTCTTGCTCTGACTGAGGGCTGCTGGGAGCAGGAGGTGGGGCTTGTTGCATGTGCCCGCCCCCTGGGCTCTTTACTACCGGAGCTCTGCTCCTGTGCGCTCCTGCAGGAAATGACCCCTGCATAGAAGCATAATCTTTATCATGATAAGAAATAACCAAAACCTATAGGGATGTAGCTAGAAAGGAAGTGTTTTTTATCAATCCTCATAATATATCGATCCTCATAATAGAAATTTTGAGCACAGACGATGTAACTGCAATCCGCAGAGGCTGTTACTCTTTTGTTCAGCAAGTTTCAAATTGTTAAATCAGCTCCTGGGTTAATAGCAATACGACTTTATTTACTAAAAAAATAAATAGATAGCAAAGATTTATAGTTTTAAAATAATCTTTAAATTACTTCTGATCTGACTGAGTGTTGCATTCTAATAAAAAAAAAATAGGTGCAATAATTCCTACAACTGTTCTCTGTGCCTCCCATGTGTACCATTCCCACCACACGCGGGCCTATTAATTTCCGGTAGGCAGAGTTGTCATACCCTGCGGTCACCTGTTCTTTTTAAAGAATCAGTTAATGGACAGGAGGATCTGTTTTTATTTTCATCTACTGACGAGCCGAGCATTTGGGGTAACATGCTAAGAAGTGCCGAACAGATAGCGGCTTATTTCTTTATTTGCCAAAAGAGAACGGTTCTTCATGTTCCATCCTGGCTTTGTTTGCTGTGAGAACCAAGACAAAAAAATTTGACCCACCCTACCCCCAACCAAGGGCTGTTGTCAAATACAGCTTCTTGCTGGCAAGGAAATAATAGAGGAACCATAATTAAGCGGCGATGATGACCCCCAAAGACAGAGATAGATTCTTTCCTGGATGCCAAGGCATATGTGCTTGTCTGATGTTTATAGAATCTTCATTAGCAGAGAGCCTGAAAAGATAAGGGACCGAAATGTAACATCAATGGCTCGAGATAAGGAGAAGTGTGCAACCAATCTACGCAAGGGGCCGTAGCTGGAAAAACCCTCAGCAGACACAGTGGCCAGCCGCTCCTGTCCCCTGCTTTTCCTTCAGTCTCTCATCAGTCAAGAAGTGTGGTCTCCCAGAACATCCACGGCCCCTTCCTGTTTGGAACCACTGAAAGTGTGCAAGATGCGCTTTTGGGGTGCCTGGATTCTTCTGAACATCTTCCTCCTTCATCCAGCGCATGGCAAACCCTTGGTCAACCAGGGTGGGTTACTTATGAAGGAGAACACTCACGACGACTCTAGTGAGATTGAGAATGTGGATGGAGACGCACACGTCAACTTCGGAGCGTTCCTGGAGAACCTGAAAGCCGATTTCCTGCGGAGCTTGAATTTGTCCGAAGCCCCTTCGCAAGAGAAGTCCAAAGAGGAGCCGCCGCAGTTCATGATCGACTTGTACAACCGATACACCAAGGACAAGTCCTCCAGCCCCATCTCCAACGTGGTGCGCAGCTTCAGCCCCGAAGGTAGGAGTTCTCTCAGATGCATAGATAAGGATTGTAGTGGATAACTCACTGAAAATGTCGAGACAGTGTGTGACTGCAATAAAGAAGGCCAATGCTATGCTGGGGATTATTAGGAAGGGTATTGAAAACAGATCAGCCAATATCATAATGCCCCTATATAAATCAAGGGTGCGACCTCATTTGGAATACTGTGTGCAGTTCTGGTCACCACACCTTAAAAAGGATATTATAGCTTTGGAGAAAGTGCAGAAAGGGGCAACTCGAATGATAAAAGGGTTGGAACACTTTCCCTATGAGGAAAGCTTAAGGCGCTTAGGGCTCTTTAGCTTGGAGAAACGACGACTGAGGGGTGACATGATTGAGGTTTATAAGATTATGCATGGGAAAGAGCAGGTGGAGAAAGAGGTACTTTTCTCCCTTTCTCACAATACAAGAACTTGTGGGCACTCCATGAAATTGCTGAGCGGTCGGGTTAGAACGGATAAAAGGAAGTACTTCTTCACCCAAAGAGTGATTAACACTTGGAATTCACTGCCACAGGAGGTGGTGGCGGCTACAAGCATGGACGGCTTCAAAAGGGAATTAGATAGGCATATGGAGCAGAGGTCCATCAGTGGCTATTAGCCACAAGGTATAGATAGGGGCTCTGGGGCAAGTGATGCTCTGTCATCTTGGTGCTTTGGGGGGGGGGGTCAACAGTGGGAGGGCTTCTAATGTCATGGCCCCACTGCTGGACCTCCTGAGGGCCCCTGGTATTTCTGGCCACTGTGTGACACAGAGTGTTGGACTGGATGGGCCTTTGGCCTGATCCAACATTGGCATCTCTTATGTTCTTATGATTTCCCAAAAAGAATGGCCTCATCCCTGGGAAATCCTAGACACAGTGACGAATGTTCTGTTAGCAGGGTTTGTTTCTTCTGTTTCCGTATATGCTATAAGAGATATGACCATTTTGCACAGCTGGTTTTTTTGGGGGGGTCAAATAATCTTTATTTGAATAAGAATCAAATACAGAAAATACGAATACCAATCAAGTTCATAACTTCAGGTAAGTATAATCCACATGGCAATAATTAAGAACTGGAATAGTCACTGAAAACCATAGAAAGGCCAAGAAACAACAAACAACACTATAATAGAAAGGGAGAAAAGTTAACACACAACATTAATTGCATCTAGAGCAATGTTCCCTCTAAGCTGTGGAGTCTTGTGAGCAAAAAGTCTACTATGTGAGCTACTGGCATTAAAGTTGTGAGCAAGGATTTGGCTACTGCATAAATCAGTTTGCTTTGGAGCCATCCTTCCTGAGATAAGACAAAAATGTGTGAGCTGGAGGCTAAAAAACTGTGAGCTAGCTCACACTAACTCAGCTTAGAGGGAACACTGATCTAGAGTAGATTTAAATTCCTCATGGTATGCTAAGTGTTCTAGAAAAGGAAACCATATTTTCACAAATTTCAAAGAGTAGGATTCTGTTTCGTTTTGTACCAAGAAATCTGGTGATTTGTCCATTATACAGAATTCCTGTGGTTTAGAAAGCCAATCGGAGATCGTCGGGTGTTTGTCATTCTTCCAAAATTTGGCTAGTACTGCTCGTGCTGAAGCACAAAGGATTTCTATTAAATTATGGTTGGACGGGTGATGTTTAGCAATAGGCCAGTGGTTTGATATTAATGATTTCACGTCCGGTGAAACCCTCGAGTGGGTTATTTCTTGTATATGAGATAGAACCGGTTTCTTGCACAGCTGTTAAGGAGAAATTTGATGTCTGTACTAAGCTGAACGGAGCTGCGGTGGCTCAAGTGGTTAAGACGCTGAACTGCAGGCTGTGGAAGGTCGGTAGTTCAGCAGTTCGAGACCCGAGTGTGCCGCATGACGGAGTGAGCTCCCGTCTCTGGTTCCAGCTCCTGCCAACCTAGCAGTTCGAAAGCAAGAAATTACAAGTAGATAAATAGGTACCACTTCGGTGGGAAGGGAACAGCGTTCCGTGCGCCTTGGTGTTTAGTCATGCCGGCCAAATGACCACGGAAACGTCTTCAGACAGCGCTGGCTCTTCAGCTTGGAAACGGAGATGAGCACCGCAACCCTAGAGTCGGATTCGACTGGCTTTCGAGCAAGGGAACCTTTACCTTTACCTTTTTACTAAGCTGAACAGAGGAACTGGGGATTTGCCTCTCAAAATAGCTTTGGCCCCACAGAGGAGCTTTGGCCACTTCCGCACTGTTGTTTTTGTCACTCGTTTGTCCCCTGTTATATTTTTTTTGAGGGGGGGGCTTTCCACATGTGTTTTGCTCCCTCTGGGATTACTAGAGAAAGCAAAACACATTGAACAGACCGCATCGGGGGGGGGGTCGGAACCTTGAAGCAATAGGGACAAATGAGTAACAAGAGTGCAGAAGCGGCCTAATAGGTGAAGAATCTGGGGTTTGAATCATCTCCGTTCTATATTTAAGTGCATATAAGGATGGCTTAGGCTACCCTACTGTCATCAGCTCTTGGAAGCTAAGCAGGGTGTCCCTGGTTAGCACTTGGATGGGAGACCAATGAGGAAGTCCACAGTCCCTGCACAGAGGCGGAGCAATGGCAAGAAGAAGAGATTGGATTTATACCCCGCCCTTCACTTGGAGTCTCAGAGCATCTTACAAACTCCTCTCCCTTCCCCTCCCCACAACAGACACCCTGTGAGGTGGGTGGGGCTGAGAGAACTCTCTCGAGAACTGCCCTTGAGAGAACAGCTCTGAGAGAACTTGTGACTGACCCAAGGTTACACCAGCAGGCTTTATGTCGAGGAGTGGGGAATCAAACCTGGTTCTCCCAGATGGGAGTCCGCGCTCTTAACCACCTAGACAGCTGTGCCAGAGCTTGTGACTGACCCAAGGTCACATCAGCAGGTGCAAGTGGAGGCGTGGGGAATCAAACCCGGTTCTCCCAGATTAGAGTCCGCACACTTAACCACTACACCAAACTGGCTCTCTGTATGTGTCTTGCCTTGAAAACCCTGTGGACTTGCTGGAAGTCAGCGGCGACTTGTTGGCGATTTCCACCACCGCCAGGATCCTGGATCATCACCAGGACCAGGTTCCCAAAGGAGTTGAAGAAGAAGAAGAGATTGGATTCATACGCTGCCCTTCACTCCCCGAAGGAGTCTCAGAGCGGCTTACAAACTCCTTTCCCTCCCCCTCCCCACAACAGACACCCTGGGAGGGAGGCGGGGCTGAGAGAGCTCTCCCGAGAACTGCCCTTGAGAGAACAGCTCTGAGAGAACTTGTGACTGACCCAGCGTCACACCAGCAGCTTGCATGTGGAGGAGTGGGGAATCAAACCTGGTTCTCCCAGATGAGAGTCCGCGCTCTTAACCACTACAACCAGACTGGCTCTCTTGAGTCTCACTGGTCACCGGGACGGACATTGGGGCCAGCCCTCTAGAGTCAAAGATGTGGCCTGCCCATCCAAGAGTCCTGTTTTTCACGGTGGCCAAATCTGGTTTGCTGGAATAGGCCTGATGTCTGCTTCCCAGCCCTTCGCTCTCCTTTCCCAGTGCCTCATTCTGGCCAGCTGTGGCCAAGGCCTCCCTATAAATAGGCAGCTGGGAGAAGGAATGGTAGAAATGAGTCTAACCAGCTAGGCCTGGGGTTCAGCTCTTGCTCCTGGGGCGTTTGCATGTATACAGCTAGGGCAGCCCAGAAAGCCGCTTCCTGAGGGCAGGATCTGGCCCATTGGGTGCCAGGGAGCCAATGTTCCCTCTAAGCTGAGTGAGTGTGAGCTAGCTCACAGTCTTTTAGCCTCCGGCTCACACATTTCTGTCTCCGCTCAGGAAGGAGGGCTCCAGAGCAAGCGAATTTATGCCGTAGCCATATCGCTCGCTCACAACTTTAATGCCAGTCGCTCACAAAGTAGAATTTTTGCTCACAAGACTCCACAGCTTAGAGGGAGCATTGCCAGGGACCCATGATGAAAGTCTTCGCCATTTGGGATAGGCCCAGGCCCACAGGGAAGAACAGGCATGGTTTGCATTTATTTATTGACTTGACTTGTGTCCGCCTCCTCTCCCTAACGGGGACCCAAGGTGACTTCCAGCCTTCTCTCTTTCTCTGTTTTACCCTCACAAAAAGCCTGCAAGGTGGGTCAGGCTAAGAAAGCGCGACTGGCCCAAAGTCACCCCCAGTGAGCTCCCAGGGCAGAGTGGGAATTCGAACCCGGGTCTCCCAAATCCATGTCCAGCACTCTGACCACGACCTCACGCTGTCTGTCTGTGGGGAGTGTCTCACTGGATATGAGGTGGAGGTGGGGTGAGCTTTTGTACGATTTCTTTTCCTTAGTAATAGCGGTGGATCCGTTTTTCTTCATGTTTATGTGATTGTCCTCTGTGGTTTTGAACTATGGTGCTGGAGAAGACTCTTGAGAGTCCCCTGGACTGCAAGAAGATCAAATCAGTCAATCCTAAAAGAAATCAACCCTGACAGATAATGAAATTGAAGCTCAAATACTTTGGCCACCCAATGAGAAGGGAGCACTCACTGGAGAAGAAGGCCCTGATGCTGGGAAGGATTGAAGGTCAAAGAAGACGGGGACGGCAAAGGATGAGATGGTTGGACAGTGTCATAGATGCAACAAACATGAAGTTGAGCCAACTTCAGAGGATGGCAGAAGACCGGAAGGCCTGGCATGATCTGGTCCATGGGGTCGCGAAGAGTCGGACTCGACTGTGCGACTGAACAACAAAACCTCTGTGGTAAGAGAGAACTTTCACTCGAGTTGGATCCAAAGGGATCCCTTCCTCTTGCATCTCCTCATCTTCCTCGAGCTATCCACTGATGAAGGGTACGGCATTTTGTTCCCTTTTAGAAATTATTTAGGGCTACAGTCACACACACGAAGTAATCCAGTTTCAATCCACTTTCAGTGCATTTTTCCAACTGGATTTTAGCTGTGTGAACTGGCAAAATCCAGTTGGAAAATGCATTGAAAGTGCATTATTTAGCCTAGGATTCAGCCAACTC